TAATCTTCTACCGATTTTCCCAGTTTTCCTAGGTTTTTCCCGCTTTCTCATGTTTTATTCCGATTTTTTATATTTGCTGGGAAAACTCTTAAAAATCCAAAAAAAAGCCTCACTAAAGTATCTCCTTAGTGAAATTTCGTTTTAGAAACGTTGTAATTATTAAATGTTTGAGCAAAATTACTAATAGAAAAATTGTGCACAGCAAAACAGAAGGCCGTAGATAATATATTTTAACTAATGCTTACATTTCTTATATTTAATTTTTTTTCTTTTCTTTAATTTTTATAAGAAAACTCCTGAGAAAATCACAAAATTATTTCTTTAAAATACTTTTCCACACCGATTTCCTTTCAGAAAAGGTACTACAGTTAAAAATCTGAGCAATTTTTCTGGTAGAAATTTGCACACAAATAAAAAGAAAAAATAAACATCTTTGTAAAACTATAAGCTTCTTCGCTCCAATCAGAATCTAAAATAAGACTTCCCAAATTCTCTAATTAAACAACATTTGCAAATAGAAACCTCTGAAGTTAATGATTTCTGCTGGAAAAGTTGTTCACAGAGGAAAAAACTCATCATGTTGTAAAACCGTTTTTTTTCTAAAAATTTAAAAAGTGCATAATATATAGTAATTGGTTTAAATCAATACCTTCTAATTTCCTCGAACAGTTCAAAATATAATATTTAAAAAAAAAAAACTTTTTTCTATGAATATTTTGTACATAGCACTACATTAATTTCTCATACAACACTTTATTCGTTAGTATTTATATTTTTTCAACGTTCTAAAACAATACGGGAAAAAAATAACAAATAGTGTAAGGACCGTTTTTTAATATGATCGATATAAAAACGACGAAAATCTAATTATATAGCCATGAAACGTTGAATAAAACATTCTTTCAGTCTGTTGATTTTGCAGAACAAATAAAAAGTGAAAAAAAAAATAAATATATGTTATAATATAATTGTTTTACGGCTTGTTTTTTTTTTCTGGAGTATAATCAGAGGGGAAAAAATACCCAAACATTTGTATTGTTTTAATTATTATCGTTAGTGTGTTTTATCTAGATATATTGTATTAATAGATATATTTTTATCTTTGATCTTATCTAGATAAATAATAAATCGATTATCTAAAATAAATAAATGAATCTTCTAAAAACATCTCTTTAAATCATAATTAGTATATTTATTATACGTAATAGGTAAAATATTAATTCATACTAATATTGCTCGATATCATTAATATACTAATATTAATAATATTAATCATTTAGTTACGCTAGATGCACAACCTTTATGAAAACAATGTGGATTTCTATCAAATCTGGTACACTTTTAACACTTTTAGCACTTAGTTTTATAAAAGGTTACAAACGAAATTATTTATTTTTTTATCTACATAAATATTTTATAATTATCTTTATCTAAATAATTAAATTGTTATCTATCTTTTATCTTCATCTAGATAATTAATTAGCAATTGTCTCGTATATTTAACTTGATATATTAGAATATATCTTTCTACAACACTGGTTATCGCAGCCCTTTTTGAGGAATCGTTGACAATTTATATTTTTTCCTAGGCCGATGATCATTTAACTTTTCACAATTTTAAATCCAACAAAGAAAAGGGAGAAACAATATACGAACCAATTTTATAATTCTATTAAGGAAAAAAAACAAAGTTTACCTCTTTAGTTTTTACAGAAAAACCGAAAAACTTTTCTTTTTTTTAATACCATTCGAGTTCGATGGGGGAATTCAATCACAGAACACCGAGTACATTTGCACTAAAGAGTAATCTACCGTACTATGTATTTTTTCTTCTTTTTTATAACACTTTCTGTTCATTTAATTTGTTCTTTATATAAAAAAAACCTCAACAAATAAATACGATACCTGAAAAAAATAAATAGTTATATTGACGTCTAGTACTTGGGCGTTTAAGGTCTTGTCAAACAGAATGTGTTATTATTATTAAATTTTGTCCAATAGATTTGGCATAATGGTATCGTCTTATCTTTGTTCAGTACTCAGTCAGTCAGTTATCACTGGTCAGGTCGTAATTTATAATAATATATTGTTTTCATTGAGTACTAAAAAAATTAATTAAGCGATTATGAATAATACCGTAAAAGAGCAATTGAAAAAAAATAAGTGTAGTTATCGAACAATGCTAAAAATTAAAGATTTTTTAGAAATGTATGAGTTTTTTTTTTTTTTTTGTTACTGGGCTGTTATTGTTACCGAAAAAATGTCAGAGTTGTTAATACTGTGCATCGAGTTTGAAATATTTAATGACATTAAGTGGGAAGCACTTGTTCATAAATTTGCTAAAATAAAATCAAGGAAGAAACGTTTTTATTAAAAATAGACTTCTAGGCTTTTCATTTACATTACATTGTACTCATTCATAACTATTATGATATATAAGTGTGTATGCGTTTTATATAGCGTGTTATTAATATTCAAAAAACTGTTTAATTGTAAAATAGTATAATGATGTTTTAAACATGTAGTCGTTTCAGTAGGTATTTAATTGCATAACAAAAAAAAAAAAAAAATATAGGATTTTTATTAAATTGCTTCACATATTTATATTGTATTACATGGAATATATATGTACTTTTAATCACTCTTTGATAATAAATACAAAATATATATTGCTCCAGGGCGGCTCTGATCTTTAATCCCATTTTGCCGTCACTCGCTCCTCAATAATAACGCTGTCACTACTCAAATCGTGTACACTAAACGGCCATACATATTTTTGTTAAATTATTTATATTCATTCAGATGTGTTTATTATATTTCTGCGTACTTTATTATTTTTTTTTTCAAATAAAATCATGATTTTTTCCTAAAATAAACAATTCGAATTATTTAAAACCTAGAAATTCAACGCACATATTTTAATGATAACGCGACGCAGTGTAGGATTACTGTGGATAGAAGAGTAACGCAAACCATAAAAGGTTGATAACCACTGCTTTAGTATATAATATTCATAAACTAAATTAGATTATATTCCTATACATAGGTAAATGCTTTTCTGATTTCCGCCTACAACGGCGGTACAATAAGTATGTAAGCCTTTTCTTTTTTTAACGTTTAATATGAAAACAATTTATCAGATTTTCATCGCATTTCACTGTTATTTATTTATTTTTAATTTATTAAAGTGTTTATTATTTTTTCGAGTTAATTTCTAGGAGAAGAGGCTATTTATTATAATATTATGATCTATTTTTCGAGGTTTATAAAACCTGTAAAATCACAGCACCATTCAGTATGATACATAGTACTTATTATTCGTCTTTTTATTTTCCTCTTCGCCTTCCTTCCTATTTTTTGGGATCAGCTACCTTCGTCCTAAACTTCCACTTGGTCCGATCCATAGCAACAGGGTACCCCTGTTTTCTGTTTTCTTCATAATTTATTCTATGCTAAACTCCTCTAACATTTTCGATACTTCCATTGGTATTACATCTGGACCTACCGTTTTTTTTATTTTTCATCGCTCTCATAGCCCATCAAACTTCTCTCTGTCTAAGTACCGCTCCTCTTTACTACACTCTTAACTACATATACTACTTATTATATATTTAAAAAATATCATAATATCGTATATTATACAATATATACGATATGATCATTTCAGATTGGCGAAACTCGAAGTGGCCGAGACGTACGAAAATAGTCGGCATTTCGATCTGACTTTCATGATATGCGTCTGGCTGGCATTCGTACCGATGGTCACCACTCCGCTGATGTTTGTCGCTTGGAACTCGGACAAGTAACTATTAATATTGTAACACCTATAATACAACATCATTCGAATGTCCTCAACCGATTTCAAAAATGCATATTTATTTTAAAAATGACGATACAGGGGTGAGGGTGAAGTAAAAAATGTTCTTAAAACAATCACGTTTCAGTATACTTACGGCCACTGGCCACCCGTAGCACACATCTGCACAGTGTCCAAATTCCTCCCAGACGTTTGTGATCGTGTCCCGTGGCACACCTCTTACTATATCTGTGATCCGGGTTTTGAGCTCCCCCGGGTACTTTGGGTATGCACAGCGCACAAGCCTAATTGTTTTACACGGGCCCATAAAAATATCACACGCCACAGCGTGGTCCGTGGAACGCGGAGGTCAAACGGTCGATTCGGTAAGTCGTTGGTGCCTCTGCAATCGATGCGACACCAAGAGTTGGTTGTTTAGATATCGACGAATTTATAATTTCCGGGGATGCGTGACTATTGCCCATTATAAATAACATGCGAACGCAGGGAAGAAATTCTATATCTATTAACCGCCGTCACCACGCCGAAAATATCGTCTAGTCAGACCCGAACGTATAATGTACGCGTTCGGAGCCGCCGTTAATAATACCTGCGCTATTGATACACGCGGCCGGAGTGGAATTAACTGCATGCGCGCGACAATTATTCCGCCGTGGGGGCTCGGAATGGTAATAATACTGTATGGGCGTACGGTATGAATTACAACACAATGGTCGTATATGACGTAAATGCGAGTAATGCGCGTCGTGTGTGTACGATTGTCGGCCCTCGGGTTTATCGTCGAACGCACGGCCCGCGCGTGTACCTATCCTCGGTCAAACACATACCGGGCGAACGCTACACGGCGTGTACGGTACCCCGGCGGTACCTTTCGCCCCGAAAACGGCTATTCTCTCCTGGTAGAGTCGCTTATTCCGTTTGTTTTTGCAGTAGCACCAAGGACCGGATCCGGAGCTATTTCAAAAGGACAAAAGTCACGGCCGAACAATCGACCAGGACCGTGTCGATGGAGGGTCTGGCGGCCCGAAACTCGATCTACACGGTGCAAGAGAGCAATCCCTGATGACCGAACCGATTAAAAATATATTATACATTGTGTTTTATACATAATGTTTAATATTATCAATAACATTATAATTTATATATATATATATATATAAAATTAAAAAAAATAAAAATACAATACGTATAATTTATGATTTAAGTGGAAAAAAAACATATAGAAGTAAGAAATAAGTAACTAACAAAAAAAAAACAAAACACAAAAAACGCAAAACGAAAAAAGCAGACCACTAAAACGAATAGTTTACGCCGTTTCCGGAAAATTGAAATTTCGACACGTCGGCGGCCGACGAATAGAGAACTCCCAACAAGTTGGGCGGCAATTGTTGGTTGCTAGACTGCTGTGGTTGAAACGAGCTGATCGGCTGCTGCTGCTGTTGTTGTTGCTGCTGCTGTGGGCTATCAGCCTGCACCTCGTTCACCGGTATGGCGGCCGGTCTGTACAACGGTTTCTGCGGTTGATAGTTGTACTGCGGCTGTTGTTGCTGTTGCTGTAATTGCAATTGCTGTTGCTGTAGCTGTTGGTAGTAATTGTTATACTGTTGCTGTTGCTGCTGCGGCGTGAGGTACGCCGAGTCCGCCGCCATCGCTGCCGACGGTTGTTGGAGTTGTTGCTGTTGCTGTAACTGGAGCTGCTGCAACTGTTGGAGTTGGAGCTGTTGTTGCTGCAACCTGGACTGTTGTTGCTGTTCTAGCAGTTGCTTCTGTTGCTGCGGCGTGTAGTACTGTTGCTGCTGTTGGCCAGCCGCAGTCGGCTGGTGTTGATAGTACTGTTGCGCCGCCAACTGCTGCTGGTAAAGAACTTCTTCGGCCGCGGTCGTCGTCGGTGCCACCTGAGCGGCTGCGTCGTAATACGGCTGCTGTTGTCTGGCCGCGACCTGCCTGTTACCGGTGGCCGGTCTTCTGTGTACCACGCCAAACTTTTGGCACGAACACACGGCCGTCAGTTGCAACAACGCCTGTTATAGAAATAATATATTTTAAATTCCACGTGCAGCCAAGCGCCAAGAAATGCTATTGGTTTTACTAAGACGTGTTTCTTTACGGCTAGTTAAAATGATGCTCAGATATTTTCACGCGGTACACTAAAAAAAATATAAGGAATTTCCGCCATCTAGTATTCTTTATTTTAAATATGTCATCCTCCTCACAAACCCCCTTGACATATTTTAAATTCAAGCTCAATTCGATTTAGGAGTTGTGCGACATTGAAAATTACGACATTTATAAATCGACTGAATTTTTTCTTTTTGCGGTTTCCCTACTTGAATATCTCATTTTTTTTTTTTTTTTTTTTTTTTTTTTTTTTTTTTTTTTTTTTTTTTTGCGCCCATTAGACGCACAATTGCGATCGCCGTTTGTTCTACGAGAAAAACGCTCTTTGATTTAATTTTAGTTTTCAAAAAAAGTTTCCAAACTTATCCGCGCACAATAATTACGTTTTATTCGATCCCCGTCGAGCGTGTCCGCGTGAAAATAATATTCGTCCCGTCGACAATATAAGTTTTAAGTTTAATCGCATTAATGGTTTGATAATACGCAGCTTATCATTATTATTATTATTATCATTATAGTTATTATTGTTACTGTAATTATTATTATCATAAGATGCAAAACTCCGTTGGTTTATATTTCCACGGTTGCGCGTGCAATCGAATTTTCGCAAAACACGATTTGCTTATGTGTAGTAGTAAATATTGTATGGGTACTTCAGAAATTACGTGCAATAAATTATTATACGCGCGTATATATTGTTAAAAAAAAAAAAAAAAAACGCAACTCCACTGATAGTTATACGGGATTTTGTCAATAAAAAATTTTAAAATTAGTGATATATATTGCCGATTACAATGCAAGCTTTTTTTTTGGTTCGTTTGACAACTGATTTTTAATGAAAAATTACTTGGAAATTAATAGAATGTTATTAAAATGTATACCTAGAATATGGTATTGCTATTATATATAATTATCGTAATTTTTAGGATTATTTTATTATTATTGTTGATATGTGTACGAGACAGGGGCGGTCGAACTTCCCGCCATGACCTTTTCCTATTCGATAAGTATAATAGGTAATGTATAATATTATTTTACTAATCTATAAATATAAAACGAAAAACGTAAATAATAATAATTGTTCGAAAAAAATCAAAAAAAAAAAACAGTCTCATCAACCCATATGATAAAAACATTTGACCGCCACTGGATACGAACCACATAAATAATGTTGTATTTAAACGGTAATAACCAATGGTCGGAATTTAAGAACTTAAAATCAACAGAGAACGTTTGGAAACGTGAAAAAAAACCCCTGAAAAATTCACTTCAAACATACAAAAAACAAAAATGGCAGAAGGATTTAAAAGTCATCTCCCTGACGGCTCTCAGTTATTAAATTCGATTTTTTAGCGCCGCAAAAGCATTTTTTATTATGATGCGTACGATTTTATTTTTTTAAAAACCCCGACGGGGTCTTTCTGTCGTTTTTGAACGTTTCTTTCGTGGATTTTAAGCACATTTAGTCTCGAGTCCTGGTAACAATAACATAGCTTAATTATTTATACATGTATGATATTAATATTCCGTCGATGCGTAATTAAATTAATTACGCGTTGTTGGTTTTAAAGAGAAGAAAAATCCTACACGAATGTATCACGATATACGAAACAAACCTACCAGTATACAATAAAACAATATAGATATACACATAATATATATATATATGTATGTATTACATTAAAGTATTTAACCTTCTAAGTAATACGGTTTGTGTTGTACACTGTTCGGAATACGTTTATCCGATTACACATTTAGAATAATATAAATAAACAATGTATATTACACACACTTTTCGAACAATGCCTATTCTGGAAAAGCGTTCGAATACTTTATGGACAATATATTATGATGTTTTTTTTTTTTTTTGTCTCCCGTCAATAGTTCTGCGGTTATATTAGACAAAACACGCGGTAATTTTAAAATCGTACGTTTACTTTGTCTCGGATTTAAAACCGCTTTTTTGTAAAACTAACGAAACGTACGTGAAATAGTTATCGAATACAATATGTATGTTAATGATTAAAATAAAATGCTTTTATAATATGATTACGATATAACGTATTGGAATGCTTTTAATAGTTGTTTAGCGCAGAAGTGATTAATTAATACGATATTGTGTAGCTAATATTTTATTACTTTTAATAAGATTAAATTTATATAAAAAAAAAAAATAACTATAACCATTATAATAAACTTAACCGTTAGTTTCCGTATACAATAATTATTATGGATAAGAAAAAAAATATTAATTTGAATAAATGTTTCTAGAAAGGAGAAAAGGTCGGTTTTTGTTTTTGTTTTTTTGTCCATTTGTGTGTACATGTGTATCCATACTGAATAATAATAACGTAAATAAAATTAAAATTAAAACGCACCGGAAGCGACAACAAAACCGTACTAACTGCAGCCGTTTGCTACAGCTATGATTTACCGAAGTCGAATTGTTTAGCGAGAAAGAAAAAAAAAACCGCCAGAAAGAATTATATTTTACTGCGCGACAAGGGCGCGGTAATTATATTTATACGCGAATTGATTTTATAATTTAATGAAAATAAAATTATTTCGTGTACCGCTAACGGTAAAAAAAACTCTTAATAACCAGTCCACCTAAGTGAAAATTATATCGTGTGTCACGTCCGTACGCGTTAATTCTTTAGGATTTAATTCAATTTCGCTAAATTGTTTTATGTGGGGTTTTTTTTTTTTAAGTACTATTGCAGCTCTTGTAATCTGTTGTTTATTTAATCCAGGGATATGCTCTACCGCCTTATTATAGTTATTGCTTCGGCGACACGGATGCAAGATATACCAGGATGTTAAATTTGGTTGTCGCGGCCAAGAAAATGCATTTTCGAACATGTACCACGGTTGTAACAACAAATATGAAAAATCAATTTGCATAGTAGGTAAGTATAAAATATAATAACATTATGTCGTGTATTTTGTGAACAGCAAGGGTTACAGCGTGATCGCAAACAGTTTGAGAATTGATCGTGGGTATATTTTCGAAAAACTAATCAAGGAGAGAAAGATATTTTGATAAAAATATAAAATTTGTCGTTTTTATCTAGATTATCTTTTAGACGGCGATAATTCGATCCATAGAATCTACAGATCTATTCCCGACTTGTGCAGTATGCCGTGAGGCCTGCATGTTATAATGTACGCCGCGAAAACTAATCGTTATTAAAATGATTATTGACAATAAAAATTGTACGTGCAATTTTGATAATAAAAATAACTACCATATAATTTTACGCGAGTTTTCCTAACCTAAATAAACGCACGTCACCGCATTCTAAGTTATTCAACAGTAATATAACCGATGTACGATAATTGGTTTGGTATTTTAATAATATGATAAAAACCTCATAAAAAAAATACGTGTAAGTCGGTGTCAATCGTGCCACGGCTAAACGCTGGTCGGGGGTTAGTGTGCCGCGGGGTCGAAAAGTTTGGGGCATGCCGATCCGGATAATCCCAATCGTCGGGAGGTATATGTATTTACAAATAGCCCGATTGTTATGGAATATTGTTTATTATCAAAACGTAAATCTGCTGTGGTAGCAGCAGATTTAATGTGTGTGTTTACTCACTAAAACGATCCACTTGAACGAATCCATAATCGGATGCAATTGCGATGCGATACGACGAGACAATAAAATAAACGTAAAAAAAAAAAAAAAACAAAACAAAACAAAAATACTATTGTATTGTTATTATCGAGCGATACGTTCGGACGTTAAATCGAAAGTGCACCGGTGAACGTCGGAGGACTAAACATTTATAATACCAGTGCAGGTCAGCTCGATAAACCCGATCACGTTCCGTTCATCGGCGATTTACACATCGTCGGCTACCCGAAAACAGCACACACACACACACACACAAATGCGACTCCATGTCTACTACTAATGTCCGTCAATAATATTCGCGATTTCACTCGGAACCGAATTAATTCATTCCGGTCTCGTGCTCCGCGATACCGCCGCGGTGTTCGCGCACTCGGTTCGCCTTTACGTCATAAAAGCAACTATAATAATATATCCAAAGTCCTACAGTCGGCCGTATATCGTGCTCGTAATACGTAAGTGTGAAATCGATCGTTTTCACCCAATAGCGGCGAGCGTGATGTTCTGTTTTCAATTTTTTTTCAGATTTTTAGCGAAGCGACGAGGAATATATTATCTGTTTTATTAGAATGATTTTTTTTTTTTTTTTTTATATGCCCAACGGCTCTTCTGCCAGAAATCATGGAGACATGTCCCCAATCAAAAACTTTATAGGAACTTTCTTGTAGCATTTTTAATTTAGTTGTTGCATTAAATGGATCACTTTTCGCAATTTTTCTCGAACATTTTCTTAATAAATGGGGAAATTTGCACGTTGTTGATTTCGGGGTGCTTTGGCAACAAGAGAAAAAATACTACTCTGTTCAGAATTGTTTTCCGTTAGCAATGGTAAGTCTTCAAACTTATCTCCTAAAAAGTGGCATAACTATTAGCTGCAATATCAATCTTTAAAAAAAAAAAAACAATGTAAATATGGTTTTAGCTTTTAAGGGTATAAGAGTAAAAGTTAAAACAAAGAGAAAATAGTAGTATAGAGAATAACGGGAAAAATGAATCCGAGAGTTTTTTTTTTAGACATTTCACTTTTTGAGTTTAACTTTCATTTTGATTTTTATATATTTTTAGGGGCCTTCATTTCTTCGGTCCGGTGGAATCTATTAGATGAAAAATAAGGTGAGGGACCTTAAATTAGTCCATTCGGAAGATAATTTTTTTATATACCTCGTAGTTTTATTACAATGGGGAAAACCGAGAACATTTACAATTTTGCGGTATACGGTTTCTATTATTTTCGATTTTCAATTTTTGTTGTGATTCAGTCAAAAATAATAACATAAACCAGAAACTTTCAATGAATTACCACCAATTTAATATGTTACTTATATGCATATTTAAGTTAACTTTATAGGCGTGGAACAATCATCAAAATATTCTGGCATATTTTTTAGTTAAATTATATTTGTATAGATAGCTATTAGAAATTATCGCACCGGTTATGTACACCAGCTACAATACGATTGAGAACGTTCGAAATAAAACAATGAAATAGCCGCTTACCCCCCCCCCCCCCAAAAAAAAAAAAAAAAACAGTACTATTAAGAACGAAATTATGTGCAACGTAGCCGAACTATATTCAATTTAAAACTCATAAATAAATTATGAAAAACTTATGCAAAATGTCTAATAAAACGGTATTTGTGGGAGTTTAATACAATTAAATTTCCACCACGTTTAGAGGATATAAGTCTTGTTTTTTTTTTTTTCATTTTATTTAAGTATACATACACGTAAAATATTTCGCACATAAAACGCATGATACGGGAAACCACATACTGAATAACGCACTAATGCGTATATTTTGATTATTCGTTGCAAAGAATTCATTATCGTTGTATTTATATAGATTATCATTATTGATAAATTCAGTAATATGCCATCTCAGACAACAATAGGTTAAGTCGAAATATATATATTTTTGATTACTTAATGGTTGAGTTTTCAGATTATCACATATTTGGCAACGTTCCATAAAATTATAAAAACCGAGCGTTCTCAATCGTATTTCTATGTATCCTATTTTCCCAACTAGCTGCCTGCAATAATGGCCCACCCATGGTGCGAAGTGAGTCCGGATTTTTTTTTTTCGGTGTCCAAAGTAATATAGATGTACGCGGTTTCACATTTTGGCGTGGCGGCACAGGTATTATAGCGAAGTGTATGCGAAAAACCAATCGAATCCGAGAATTTTTGGACGCGCTCCCAAAGTATAATTTACACGGGGACACAATATAGCTGCATCGAAAAGGTTGTTTTAATTAACTGTAACGTGGTCGATATTTTTTTTTATTTTTATTTTTTTGTCGATCCGTAGGTATAATATATTAGTAATATAGAATAACGAGAGAATTCAAATTCGAACACATTTCGTGAATTGGTTTATACCTACGTATAATTACATGTTTTTAAATTCGGCTCACCAGACAAGCGACTGTCTATACATATACTGTCGATATAATAATCGACAATTTTCTATTTGTGACCCAATAAAAAGTCACACGTGCATTTATTAAAGTTATTGTGGTTTAAAAAACAAAGTTTACGTATTATTACTGTTATTAAAATAAACGTTCTAACTTTTTTATCTAGTCGAAATTTCTTATTCTTAGGAGCCTAATTTTTGTTATACACCTATTAATCATTAAAGCATAATATTATCATTAATTCCTGGTAAAGGTTTCCCAGTTTTACAAAAATACTAGATCGATGTTAGGTATTTCAAAAAAATACCTTTATTAAGTATCAACTATAAATTTAATGCAACAAAAAATGGCTTTAGGATTTAGAATGTCGATATAGATACCACCCGTCTAACGATAGGCGAAGGTCACGGACGACCCAGTGGCCCAACGGCATAGTGAGCACAGGGAAAATTGGTCAAAATGGCCCTCAGTCAAATATGACTAATAATTGCAAACACAGCATATAGAAACATAAATGTACAAAAAATCAAGTAAAAGTCTTTTTACAGTATTTCCATGATATGATAATTAGTATTTATTCAGAATGCATTGAAATTGAATTAGCTTTCCACGAATCAATAATAAACTTATTTTTAAGAGGATGATGGGTACTAGATAATTTGATTTGCACTCAATTCAAATTCAATTTTACCAAGGAAGTGGCGTTATTGAGGGACATTTACCCCAGTCTTACTTTTATTCTTGTCTTGAGAGACTTCGGAATAGAAATAAAATCCAATTATTTTTTTTTCATGCTTAACTTTAATTTGAAAAGATTATGTGAAAAACAATGTTGCCATGTTTTCTGTATTCAGTATTTAATAAAGTTGAAGAATAGTGAGGTAATAACAAGTGACTGAGTACCCTGTATTTTCGTGCCGTGAGGCGCACAAAATCTCCCATGGGTGTGTTACATATCTTACCTATTATAGAAAAAAAAAAAGTGTGTAGTACGAAAAATAGTCCCTGAAGTATACCCCTGCCAATACGCCAAATATTAATTTGCGTTGGGTAGGTATACCGTTTCGTTAAAAATAAAAAATAAATATCACACAGATTACACCGATCGTGATAGTTAATAGTAATATTTTCCAGCTCACGGATCTCTTGATAATATATTATGTCACACTGATATTACGTAGTAGTTCAAAGCCGGCAAAATCAATAACACACCGACGAGATACCATCTAACCGCCGACAAGAATACAAATAATATTGCTTCGATTATATCAGACCGTTTCCGACGAGTTATGCTATAACAGAACCTGGGCCGGGCGAACCGAACTAATTAATTTTGAGTCGAAATAACGTTGTTTCTTAAAAAGTTGAAATTAATGCACGGCATTAATCTAATCTAACGTGTTAAAAACAAAAATTAACTGGTATTCTATTTTTATTTTATTCGTTGTACAAATTTCCCACTATTCCGTAGCACTAGTGATTTCCGACTGGATAATAGACAGGGCTGAATTGAGCACAGAGCCAAGGAACCCAGGCACTGAAATATTGAAAGCCTTTTTTTCTTTCAAAGTTTACAAATCCAAGTATTGTATTATATGTTTTAATATATTTTATTTTTGTCCAAGTCAATAACAATATTTATAATATTTATATCTTCAACTTCACGTTTGAGTCCAATTAGTTTTAGGAAAAGTATATAAAACCAAAAAAGAAGAGAGAATAAGGTATTTTAGTTATAAATATTTCATTTTAGATTCTGAGTGGAACGAGGAATGTATTGATTTTATAATGTTAATTTTAATTTTTTTATCGTTTAACAACTTCTGTACCAGCAATTTTGCACCCATTTTCAATGATTGCACTTTTTTCGAAAGTAAATCTTACTGAGGTAGTACATTAAACATCGAAAATATCGGCTTCAACTATACTTGAACATTTCAAAAGTTAAAATTTAAATATATACAAAATTTAATCAAAAAAAAAAAAAAAAAAAAAAATGAGGTGAATATACTTAGTAAATCACTATGTATATATTGTTGAAAAAGCAACACTATTAACCGAACTTCATTCAGAATCGTTTTTCGTTAACAACGATTAATCGTTGCGTACTGATATATACATTAAATTTTTCCTCTACTATCCTTAACTTTTCACCGACAACAGTAGACCACCTATCGTGTGAAATATGTTGTCTTTTTTAATTTAAATTTGTATGCCTAAATAATAATGTATAAAATTCGAATTGGCTGTCATAACAAACATGTACACAAATATTTTTAAATATATTGTTCTGTACAATAATTTCATTTCTATCATCTTTTTAAAGAAGTAAATTAGTTATTTATAATTAGTGTGAGGGCTTTTTGGACTAACGAGTTTCAGGCCCGGTAAACTCTTAATCTGGTCCTAAAATAAAATATATTATAATACATAGTATTTCGTGATAACACAATATCATGCAGTTTTTATCATATTAAATAATAAAATATTATAATACATGGTTTAAATCGAGTTAAGGTCTGTACACACTGCATCAGTGAAGATAAAACTTAAATAATCTACAATTTTATTCTGTATAATATGATACATTATATCTGCAGAATTTTTAATAAACACATGACAGAACGCAGATAGTATATAATAAGTATGCAGTAAAGGTATAGGCTTGTTATTTGACAACATTGCTCATCTAGAAAATGTGA